ATTGTGATTATAAATTTATTGAGGTAAATAGAGCTCTGGCCCTATATTCGAAAATTTATTTGTGGTTTATTATTGATCGATCGATTTAATCAAGTAACGGGTCTGAAAAATCGGAGCGTTTCAATACCTTTTCTAATTTATCATATCTTCAAGAAAATTTAATTTATTTTTTGAATTTTCGCCGACACTCTTTGTCAATGTGTGTCGAGTGACTTTTACGTTTATACCCATATGCTTGAGATTGATTTATAAGCATTTCCAGCCGCTAAATATATTTGAGGGATAAAAATAAATTATACAATTTAAAAAATTTAATATTTTCTTAATTTGTTTTCACCAAATATGTAAAAATTAACAAACAAAACAAATATATATTATACGTAAATATATAGGTTCATTTATAAGTTCCTGTTGAATATTAGTCAACTCGAACTCAACTCATTTAACTAGTTTTAATGCCTAAAAATTAAGTCCATCGAGCGCATTCATATAATTTTTTTTTTTTTGCCAGGTAAAAAGGGGGGTGGGGCAACCAATAGATAGTAATCCCCTTTGGGTGTGACCATGAAGGTGTTTGCATTATAAAATGTCCGATTTGAGTCATAATTACTAACCCAAAATGACAGCTCATCACCAAAGTCAAGCGGCAGACCGCGTTGCTCATGTAAATCAAATTATACTTGATAACCATATGAAAGTCAAAGATAACCCTAAACAGGTACGACTTACCACTAGAACACTAACTCAGATGGTGCATTCATATAATTAAAATTATTCACTTTATGATTTTATTCTTACGTGGCTTTCTCTTATGTGAAGCCTGTACCACCGAACTCATGCAATGCTAGCAAAAATGAAAGGCGATCAATCCAAATCCAACATAAATATATGGTGTGCCCCGTTCAATTAAATTTTAATTGGCTCGAATTAAATTTTAAGTGACCTTAATTTTAATATGTAAAAAATATAAATTTTAATCAACTCGAATCGAATCTTAATCGGCCCGAATTTTAAAACATAAAATAATATAAATTTAATTGATTCGAATCAAATTTTAATCAGTACTAACAATTCAGGATTGAGCTCAAATCGACTTGAATTTTAATACATAAATAAAATTTAAAAGACACAAATTTTAACATATAAAAAAATAAATCTTAATATGCTCGAATCTAATTTTAATTTTCTCAAAATTTTAATATGTAAAAAAATAATTTTAATTAGCTAAAATTTTAATATGTAAAAAAATAAATTTTAATGAATTCGAATTTCATATAGAAAGATTTTATGGAGTTTATGTATGGACAATTTTGATAGTTTAAATTTTTTTTTGTTTGAAATGGTAGTTTAATAGTAAGGGGTGTTAGTGATGTTTAATATAAACTAGAAGTGGTGTTGATGAAGATTCGAAAAATAGGAGAAGTGCATTTAAAGATATAATAAACTAGAAAAGATGTGACTTAATTTTTTTTTTAAAATTAAAAGTTATTTGTGTTTAACGTTGACATATGACCCACTTTTATTTCCTTCAAATAAATCATATTATTCTTAAATGGATTTGACTAAGTAATAATTTCGGTACTGTACTTCTAACTTTTATTATTTTAATCGGTATTTTTATAATTTTTATAAGTTATTTTATAATTAAAATTTTTATCATTTTTATGATTAATTTACACTTTTATAGGTATTAAGGATGCACAAATTGATCTTGTACAAGATCAACAATCGAGTATATGCAAGGGTGTAATTAATGAGCGATAAATAGACAATCAATGACAAAATAGTAAATATAAGTAGATACACCGATATATAGTGGTTCGGTCTGGGTGACCTATTTCACTCTCGAGAAACGACAGCGATTGTCGGAGGCTTTTTTTGATGAATAAAATAACCAAGAGTATTACAGTACTTTAGAAGAGAGAAACTAGGGAGGTGTAGAGAGGACAGTACTCCAATGTGCTCTTATCTTTCTGGACTTCTTGGATTCTAAATTGGGTCTGATTGATAAGTGAGTCTGAGTTGCTCTTTAGCTGACTTGGGCCTTCTTGATTTATTAGGTCCAACCCAGCTGATTTTGGGCTCATCATGTATTTTTATCACTACTGTAGGTATTTTTATCACATTTCTTTGATACAATTTTTTTTTACCGCATTTGTGAGTGTGTTTATTATATTTGTGGGTGTGTTTTATCACATTTGTGAATGTTTTTATCACTGTTGTGGTAATATTTTTATTATTTTTTTAGGTACTATAATAGTGGTAAAAAAAACCCATAAATGTGATAAAAATAATCACAAACGTAGTAAATGGAGATATGTATCATTTTTTTTTCGGTACCGTGGTCAACTCCTTCTTAAATTGGTATAAAAAATAATTTAATATAATTTATTAATTTTATTATTCTCGAAAAGGTAATTTATTAATTTAAGGAATAGTTCAAGTAGTAACAAAGACGTCATAATTTTGAATCTTGATAATCTTTTTAGCCTAGTTTATAAGAGATTTATCTTTCATGAATATCTTAGTTTCGACGTGGATGATTTATTTTTGACCTAATTGAAAAATAAATTAGTCGAAATGTGCATAAATTAATTTAGACACAATTATTAAAAAATAAAAAACAAAAAAAGAAGAAGGTAATCTATTAATTTATTATTGATTCTATATCATGTTGAAAACTAATAACTTTACTCCAAGAATCTTGTCATGTAAGCAATCAAATTCTGACACGTCAACAACACCAATAACCTGGTGATTCTCCGCCCTCTTCTGACAATCTCAAAGGCGTGTATTCTACTGTGACGCAACATAAAGTTGAAATGTTAAACTAATCATTTAATCTGAAGACTTAATTTAATATAATTATTAAATTAATTATGAGTTTTTATATTAAATAAATTTTATTTATAATAAAATAATTATAAGTAATTAAATTAAATACTTAAATTGAGTTTAAATAATATTTTTCTATTTCTATATCATAACCAAACCTTACAAAAAGAAAAACACATTCACATTCTAAAATTAACTTTATTCTTAAAAGAAATTAAAGAATTCATGTTATACAACTCATCGCTAACCGTCAAAATTTTTTTTTTACGCCAACCTCAAATCAAAATCTCCTAAAACATACAACTAACTTTATGTATATAGAGTTTTTTTGGTTTTATATGAAATAAATGATTATTGGGAAATATTGTTAGAGTAACTCTTAACGTTGTACTCAAATAAAAGATTTCTTTGCAAAGTGTGTCATCGTCTCGCATAGAAACATTTGTTCGTAACACCTATATGCTAGTGAATTTTGCAAAAAGAGGAGGAGATGACTGTAAGGAAGTTTTGGGTAATTTACATGACAAAATAACACCTAAATTGGTTGGAAGTGACCAAAAGAACTCCAATACTTTTAAGTTAGAAAACAGGTTGATGATAGTATATAATAAATAGACTATGATTGAATGAATTAGTTGGTATCTGGAAGCCTTTATTTATAACAATAAGGAGATGTGTTCCAAAAGAATCCAAACTCTAAGGTGATTGACTCAACCTTGTCATCAAGTCTTAAAAATACAAAGTAGAGGTACATTATAGCTCTTGGTCCTATGTTCTTATCACGAGCTCCTGATTGTTCAAAGTAACGTTTTACTTATGCTCCGTTTGATAGGAAGGATGGAAAGTAAGAACAATATACTTTCTTTTCTTTGTGTTTGGTTGAATGAATGAAAAATAAAAACGAATATTTTTTTTTTCTGTTGACTAAGATTAAGGGTGACAATAAAGTTGAGTCATGTCATGTCAGATTCGTATTGAATTATTACGAGTTTGTGTCGAATATTGTCAAACCTAACTTAACTCATTTAACTAATTGTGTCGTATCGATTTACGAGTTGACCTATTTATTTTCGTATTGAGTTTGAGTCGTGTTGAATCAAAAATTTTCACTTTTAGTTAAGATGAAAAAAAAATATTTTTTTAATTTAATTTTTTTTAAAAAAAATTTAAATATATATAAATATATGTATATATATATATATATTTATTTATATGAAATTAATATATACATAAGATATATAGACAAATAAGGTACATCTTAACACAAATAAATAACTTTTCATTCATCCACTTTTCTTTCGATTTTGGAGGGATTGATTTTGGTGAGTTAGAAGAAAAATTAATCTATTTACTTTTCTATCTTTTCTTATCAAACATAATATTTTATTTATTATTCTAATTTTATATTTTTTTAACTTTTTATCCTCTTATTTTTTTATCGTACCAAACGGAGCATTAAGCTCCAACCCATTAGTGTCTCGTCACCGACTCTTAAATTTTTTGAGTGATATTAGAGTAGAACTCTGGACCTTAATTTGTACTTTAGCCGAGTATGACTCATCCAGAGAAAGTGGACACGATGTTGACTTACAATAACTTGATCAGGGACAAAACGGCATGACACCTCAAGGGTGTGCCGACAGGCTCTCTATCTTCAAATGCCGACCGACATGACCTTCCCCAAAGGTTTGCCAACCAACAGTAATGCCTAAGACCTTGCCCATTAGCTTGGGTTACTTTACGCCTCACAACCTACTATAAGTCTATAATACACTCACTTACCTATTAAATAATAATAAAATTCACTTATTTTTTTTATAAGATAGTAATTGCTATATAAAGAAGTAGGATTTATCTTATTCACTTAATTTTTTTATTATTAAATAATAATATCACATGATATTATTAACGTGACATAATCATTACATTAAATTCTTACATCGAAAAATTATGAGTGATTACCGATAAATAATCTTTGTTATTACATAAAACTGTTCAAAACAGAAGAAACACCAAAAATGTGATAAAAGTGGGTCCCCTGTAGTGATGAATATACCACAGAAATCTTACTCTTGCCCCAATGAGAAAGATATTGAATCACATATAAAAAGATTCAATAATAATGGGACCCACTTGCCATTTCCGTAAATCTTCAAGCACATATCCGTCTTCTTTGACTCCACAATCGAACTTCCCGGTATAAATACTAATATCGCCATTTCTGAAACTTGTAAGCATTTGAAAGCTTGAATTTCTTAGAGAACGAAATGGTGGCACCGAAGATCTGGAACGCCATGGAAGCAGCAGAGGAAGCTCGGGAGAACCACGGTAGCTCCGGCATTCGTTCGTCTTCTCTCACCGTCGACCCCTCTCTCTCTCTTCCCGATATGAAGCCTTGCATCGTGTACGTTCCACTCTTTCTCTCTCTCTCTAAAAGTTCATACACAGATTTTATTTTATTTTTTCTTTTAATTTTAGGTACTTAGCCTAGTTCTTTCGACGAATTTACGTAGCTTAAGGTTATACGGTAGCCTCTGTTTGGTTGGCTAGAAAGTTTGATACAAAGGAAAAGGAATTTGTGTTTTTCTACCAGTCATCATATGAGAAAATGGGTTCGTTTGGTTCTTGGATTCCGTGGAGGAAAGGAAGAGAAAATGTAATATGGAAGCCATCAATGATAATATGAGAGGAAGTGAGAGAAAAGTGTTAGGCGAATTCGAATTTCGTAGTCATTTCTGTTCCTATTAATGTTAGGTTTTGACATTTTTGAATTTTGCTCTGACTTTTCTCGTTTTTTCAACATATTTCGTTCAATTGACTTTTGACAGAGAGCTGTGCAAGGATCTGTTCAAGAATTGGTCGATATTAGACGATTCCCACTTCGCTGTCGAGACAGTTTCCGGCGGCATCACCAATCTCTGTGCGTAATTTTGCTTTTCCAGGGCTAGCTGTCAAGTTGTTTTGTTTTTTTCCCTGTATCAATTGCGTTTCCAGCTAAAATCACCGGACCTGATAGCCAAGAAAAATCTTGTTCGCTTACTATTTGATAGTTTCTTACCAGACTTAACTCTTACTTTATCCTTCATTTGTTCTTTCAGATGGAGTTTAATTAGTTTTTTAATTGTTATCATTGCAGTACTCAAGGTATCTGTAAGGGAAGAAAGCGGAGACATTGTGAATATTACAGTTAGATTGTATGGTCCCTATACTGAATTTGTTATCGATCGTGATCGGGAACTGCAGGTAAGTCATAGAGTTTTTTGTGGTTGAAACATAAATATCTCTCTCACATCAATGGTGTCATGTGCACTAATTAATTGTCTTGGGCATAAATTTGGGTGGCCTAACCTGTCTTGGTCCTTGGTACAGGTTATACTAAAAGATGTCATGAAACTTCCATTTTTGTTTAATTTTTTGCTAAGTGTAATTAACTCAAGTTGATTCATATTTTGTTTCATAGGCCAATTAAAGCCGCATGCTTTCGTGTGGTGGATCAGAAATAGGAATCCTGCCAAATGGCAGGAAAAGAATTATTTACTGTTCTTGTACCCCCCTGGGAATTTCGCTGCTAACATTTTTATAACTTTTCTAAATGATGGAAGCGCCTTATTGTACTTTGAGAGCAGCATTTCAGTCAAAATGGGCTTGACACCTGCAATATTTTGCATCATTAACTATATATCCTTTTCTTTATTGAGTATTTTCAGGGGAGAATAATTAACCCTTTGGGTTTGGATGAATGAATTGGACTATATATTCTACAATGTTACTTGCTTAGTTCTGAGTGTTTTCTGTTGGAACCCAATGTGATTTTACTTTACAAGTCAATTGAAGCGTCCACTAAGTCAATATTTCTTTCATGGGTGTACAAAATTTTCTGCTCCAAGTCTTCTTTTGTGTAATGCACAATATAGGGTTGTAATTAGAATCAAAGATTTGTAAACTGTGAAGCTTTAGTTTCAATGTACTTGTGATAGGATTTTTGAAAATAAGTATTTCTCTCGACTTGCTGTAGAAGATACACTGATTGTTTTGGCCGAACCGTTATGCTCTGTGATTGTAAGTGAGTGGCCTGTATTTTACTTGAAATTATGAAAAATGGTGATATTCTGCGAGAAATATTTCACTTATTTGACTGTCTCTATGTGGTATTTGCTTAATATTGTCTTTAGGCCATTCAATACCTGTCGGCTGCAGGATTTGGTGCCAAGTTGCTTGGGATTTTTGGAAATGGCATGGTGCAATCATTTATAAATGCACGTACACTAACTGCATCAGGTAACTGTCCTGAAGATCACATTTGAGTGGGACTAGTGATGGGGTTTCTTAATTATGAATTGAATATCATTTATATGACACTTTTACCTTTGAAAGCAGCGTTTGCGTTTAGTTGAATTTATTGATGTTTAATTTCATCTGTCTTTGTATTCTGTGGATTGAAAACATGATTCCATAGTTGATTACAGCAACAGTCTGCTATATCATTGAAGTTAGCTAGTCACATAAAACTATTGCTAGCCAGTCACATAAAACTATTGCTCTTTTCTCCACTGTTGCTCATGATGGGCTTCATTCAATTGGTCTTTAATAATCAAACTGTGAAAGCTAGATCTTGGCTGTTTTTGCTGTTTGTGTGACTTGTTTTATATTTATTCCCTAAGTTTGCATTTTTATATGTTTATGCATTGCATGCTTAGGAAGTCTAGATAGAAATATTATTAAACATGCACAAACAGCACGGTAATGTACTATTAAAGGTGGTTTTCTCTGGAAAACTCCTCTGATTAATTAAGGCATCAGGCTTTGGATATGCTAGTTTCCTAAAGTAAGAAATTGTGTTTCTGGCCTGAAATGGTGAATTTTTAATGTTTAATGCAAGTGAACTCTTTTTCATTGCCTATCTCTCCTTACTCCATGAGTTGGCAAACTTTAATCCCCGGAATCTCATTTCCGCGTGCAATGCAAATGCAAATACAAACCCTTTTTGTATAGATATGTTTGCCATCCAACCCACAATTAAGGAGAAGGGAGTTTACTTCATACGCAGATTGGTTCTTTTCCTTTTATGTGAAATAATTTTAATGAAAATATGCTCTTTGTATAAATGATGAAGCCTTTGTGGCCCAAGTGATTGGATACTCCTGAAGGCCCTGCACTGTTAGACTCTTTATTGAGAAAGTAACAACCAAATGACTCCTAAAAGTAGCATGCGAGAAAGTACTCTTGTCTTTTCCGTGAGTCAGCTGTTAAGATGTAGGTTGTGTTTGATGCTTGATGTATGGTTACTGTCCATGTTCTGTGGAAGTAGTCCAGAGGTCTTACAGGAAGGAACATATGCATAATTAGAGTAGAAAAGACCTGAATGCATGAAGGACCAGCTCCAGAATCTAAATATCCAAACACATGGTCTGTTTTAAGACAATTTTGTAGCATGATTTGATGGTCTCCATATATACCTTAGGGCAAGTTAAGCTCAAGTCTTTGATGATTATGATATGGTTAAAACAGGATAAGCATGTGTATACATATCTCCGTCTTCAGTCAACACTAAGATTACTTAGATTAGACAACTGTAAATTTCAAGTTTGCTTTATTTCTTTGTATTTTATGCATGTAACTACCATTTATTTTTCGTTTCTTAAAGTTGAGGGGGTGTTGAGCATTTACTTTTCCTTTTGTGTGAAGCAGTGTTTAGCTACAAAATCAATAATCTGTACTAAACCACGCTTAGATAAAAGTACTTAGTGGAGAAGGGTTAACTTGTGAACCGGAGTGGCATTTGAAAATTTCTCTCAAGTGGCATTTGAACTGGTCCTCATTTGATCAAGACTAATGCGGGCTGGTTGGACCCTGCAAAAGGAGCATGGTCTCCTTTTGACTTCTTCATTATTTGGCCTTAATCCTGAAGTGTGTAGTATCTTTGGGTTTGTCAAAAACATTTCATCTTCTTGTCTCTTTTTGGATTGCTAGAAAGGTTTCTCCAAAAATGAACTGATCTCTGGATTTCTCCATTATAATCTGCCTCGGGCCCTTGGTACATCGAGACAGAAAAAGCATGAAAAACCAAATGTACATTCAAATTCCTAGGTTCGTTATGACCTATGATCTGCATCTTGACATTATATTGTCATATTGTCTTGACAGACATGAGAAAGCCGAAGCTAGCTGCTGAAATTGCGAAGCAGCTTCATGAATTTCATCAAGTGGAAGTTCCTGGTTCCAAAGAACCTCAACTATGGAATGACATCTTTAAGTTTTTCGAAAAAGGTACTTTGTTGATTAATGAAAAAATTAACAATGCATTCTCAATATTTATAGGTTTTACAGTTTGGGATGAATGATTGATGACTACGATCTTTCACATGCTACTCTATTACTGCCTGAGTTGCTACCTTTTGTTGCTTGCAGCATCCATTCTTAAGTTTGATGTTATTGAGAAGCAGCAGAAGTATGAGACAATTTCATTTAAAGAAATTCATACTGAAATTGTTGAGCTCAAGGTACCTCTTCATCTTAGAATTTGCATGTAATTGGTACAGTACCATCTGTTTTCCGTGTGTTCTAGTTTAAGGATGAGCAAATTTATGTCAAAATGTGGTTTAAGATGAAGAATTTTGCAATGGGAGTACGTTATATTCATTTTACTCTAATTGTGTGATGTCTAGCAATCACCTCTGGAGGGCTTTTTTTCTTGGATTATGTTGTGTACTGTAGCGATTGAAGTTTCAGAGATGCAGGAAAGCGAACCTACAGTTTGAAAACTGATTATTTTTTCCATTCTGGTTTGACACTTGCCACAGCATGGTAAACTTAAGAAACGTAGAATGGTATGAAGGTTTTCTTAGACGCAGATCAATGATCATATGGCAGTGTAGTGTTGAATTAGTGTAAGATTGGAGGACTTACTTTTAGCTTCTTAGCGAACTGATTCTACTGAGATAATACATCTATCTAGAAAACTAGCAAGATGAAATGTTAAATAGGTATTAGATGAGCAAAGTAGAAAGCACATAACCCAACCCTGAGTTTGGTTTCTAATAACGGTTTCAACTTTCAGTAGTGAAAAGTGTCCTCCTGAAGTTTCATGATTGATTGTTCTGTGTTTTCTCAAGTCCTAGTCTTCCAGCCAACCACAGGAAAGATTTCAGAAAACTGACATAGTATTCAATGACCAAAAAAATACATTTTTTCTAAATTCATATGTTGATTTATGTTGGCTTTGTGTAAGGTTTAAAGAACTGCAGTTTTATATCAAGAAATGTTTCCTGACACAGGAATTGACAGACCGCCTTAATGCTCCTGTGGTGTTTGCGCACAATGACTTACTTTCTGGGAATTTGATGCTTAATGATGAGGACGGTAAGGTATCTTTTGCACAGGCACTGGTCAACATCCACAATCTGGTGATTCACTTTCCGGTTGTATGGATGGAGATTGTATCCAACATAAGGTTTAAAACCTACTGTCTAGTGGGTTGTGTGGGTTTTCCATTTTTCAGTAATTGTCTACTGCCTTAGAGTGTCCAATGTAAATAGGAAGAGACTCAGGGTGACTTGAGAGTAGCTAAAATGGTGTCTGATGTGCATGGTGGGAAAAGGCTAAATACTAATGTCTTCGTCACAATTCTGAGTTTTATCTGAGTAATTTCTAAATATGATACTGTTCCACCTCTCTCTCTCCCTTCTTACTGACCTATGCTTGTTGGTGGACCTGCAGAGAAACTTTACTTCATCGATTTTGAGTATGGGTCATACAATTACAGAGGTTTTGACATTGGAAATCACTTCAATGAATATGCTGGATATGATTGTGATTACAGCATGTATGAAGTCTTCCTTGCCCTTCCCTCCTTTCCGGTTCTAGTTTCAGCATACATAGGACATAATATATTGTTTTTCGAAAATGATCTTGATGCAGGTACCCGAATAAAGATAAACAGTATCATTTCTTCAGGCATTATTTAGAACCTTACAGACCACACCAGGTGCGCGGGAATGTCAAACTCATTGAAATTTCAGCTTTAAAATTTTAGTGGTGCGTATAGTTGGAAGGCTGTGCAAAAATACAACTAAATTTGATTTTGAAAACAGGTATCTGACAAAGATCTTGAAGCTCTTTACGTGGAGACATATACTTACATGTTAGCTTCGCACTTGTATTGGGCTCTTTGGGCTCTAATCCAGGTACTTATTTCTTCAAGCTTTGTTTCTCAAGTCCAAGAAAGGAAGCGTTTAAGTTTTGCATTCGCTATTTGACAGGCAAAAATGTCTCTTATCGATTTTGATTATCTTGGGTATTTCTTCCTCCGCTACAATGAATACAAGAGGCAGAAGGAGAAGTGCTTCCTGTTGGTGCAATTATACCTGTCAGGATCCGGGACTGGCTGAAATGTATCCTTCTATGCAACACAGCTAAACCTCTGTATGTTGTGAAATTGTTGTTGGTAGCATTTGTGAGGCCTCCATTTGATATGCTTTGTATTGTATTCTTTTGTAAACCATTTAGGAGAAAGAAATTGAATAAGAGTGGCTTTGTTGTAATCTTGATACTTGTATCTGGTTAATGATAACTAGTTTCTTGTTTCACAATTCTCACGTTCCATGTCTCCAAGAAGACAATTATTTTCCTGATTTCATTTAAAGAATATGGGTCTCCTGGTCGACACACTACCTCGTCTTTGTTCTCCACGTGCATAACCAAGCATGTCCCAAACTGGTAATTGTTCTAAATGAAATTTAGTTCAGAATTGCAAATGCAAGCTGGCAGTGGAGACTAACCCAGCTCAAGCCACGGTGATCAGCCTCTGAGTTTAAAGAAATAGTCGGTATTAAGTCTGGCCATCCTGTAGCAAAAAAAAAAAAAAAAA